CAAGAGAGAATAAAGATCCTCTTCCACTGGATGCCAGGTTTCCTTCTTTTTCCTACAGGTGCACACCCATTTGAGGCCGTACATAATTTTATAGAATTAGAATTCCCTTTAGTCAAAGATACAGTTCTCTTCCCTCCTTGAAAGTCTGTGTTCCATCCCAGCAAAGCCCCTCTGGGAAGAGCAACCATAACTGATTTTATCATCAGTCTTATCAAACTCTAAGAACTGTCACAGAATTCACAGAATAACTAGGTTGAAAGAGACTTTCAAGACCACTGAGTCCAACTCATGCCCTAAAACCTCAACTAAACCATGGCACTGAGTGCCACTTCCAGTCTTTTTTTAAACACATCCAGGGATGGTGACTCCACCGCCTCCCCAGGCAGACCATTCCAGTACTTTATCACTCTTTCAGTAAAAAAAGAATGCTGTAACAACATTTTAAGGTAATCTTTCCTCCAAGTGACTCCTCCTATCCATTCTACAATGGCTATGTGGCTCCTGGTCTAAATCTGGTCTCAAGCTCACCAGCACAGATTATACCCTCCAGAAGCTTAAAAGATAGTTGGTTACACACCAGATCTTTGGACACTGCTACCAAACAGAGCTCTCATGTGATAAAAGTTTGCTGAGCAGCTCCCTTCAGGCAAAAGAAAAAAAATCCCCATCCACCTATAACAGCACTCACGGTTCCTCAAGCTAAAGGCACAGCAATACAAAGCCTGACAGCTACTTCAGATTAATAAAAACACAGAGGTATATAATGCTCACAAACCACACTGACAATTCCCAACAAAAAAACATAGCCAACAGCCACAAACATGCACACGTGTCACTCCCCCAACAGCACAGCCTAATGCCAGTCAGAAGGGGAGTGCATCACAAACAGAAAAACCAGAAGTGGCAGCATCCAAAGGAGCTGCAGGAATACAGAGCTGAACAGAGCTATATGAACTGCAGGGACGAGCACGAGGTTTGCCAGCCCAATTCTGACATGTGCTATTCAACATGAACACATTGTATGTCAGCATCATGTGATGCGTATCACTTGCAGCTGGAAAGGATATAATCTACCAATTTATCAGAAGTAAAAAATATAGGATGTAGTAAAAAGTATAGGAGATACATATCTCATTCATCTAAGGACCACAGTGTAAGCTTCAATTCACAACATTTCTTTGCCACAGTTTTAAATTGAATAGAATTGAATGTCACTGAAAAGTTTCAAAAAACCCCACTGAAATTAAGGCTCCCTCACTATTAAAAATCTAAATAATTTTATTCATGCACCTACTTATTCAGACTGATCTAAGATTGTAGATCTGTTCTTTCAGTTAAGGGGATCCTGCATTCCTTACTTCTATATCCATTTAACTTTTCTGTTCTCATATATTAATATAAGTATGCAGTGTGGGAATTATTTACATTAATGTAAGTATAAACTAGGTCTTCTGAAATGCATTTATATTTATAGAAAAACAATGCTTTGAGATCTTTACAGCTAATTAGCATGTGGCAATAAGTTTAAATTAGTTGTTCTTCCTATAAGATTTGCCTGTTCCTGTAAACCAGTACAGAATCTCTTCCAAGTAGTTTATTACATTGTGTAGGTTTTTTTAATCCTTTGCTGAATAATGAAGCACACATACAAAAATGTATCAGTTATGAGAAAATGTTTCATGTATAAACTAAATACTGCATCTTTTAGGTCAAATAACTGGAAAATAGAAGTGTAATATGTGAAGTATACTTGGAATTGTTTAGAAAAAGCAGCTTTAAGTTAGTTTAATTATTATTTTTTCTCCCCAGTACAAATGACTTCTACAAATCCTACTCCTATATTTAAGTTGCAAATTGTTCCAAATAGCCTTTTACATTATTTATGCAGAATGTGATCAACAACACACTAATTATAAAGCTTGTTTCCTGAAAATTCAAGGGCAGCCCACATAACTACACCCGGGAAAGAAATTCCAGCGAGTTCCATGATCATCATCTAGTGCTGACTTACACTTAAAACACCCTATAAACTTGCAAAGACTTACTGTATGTGATAGGTTATTGTGTGTGTGATAGTTATGTGATTTTGGAGCTCCCACTAAAAAAAACCAAAGGACATTTGTCAACAGAGGGGAGAGGGAAGAGGGCGACGAGGGGAGGCTGCCAGAAGGGATAGCTTGCTGAATACTTATTCCAAGAATATTGCACAAGCTCAACTAAAATGCATAGGTAATGACAGGCAGCTGAAAATTTCACAATTGCTCATTATGCAACTATACCTTAGGCACTTTAAGCAAATACTGAAGAAATAATACATGGGAAAACCTGGCTTGCCATAGATTTTTTTAAAGAAGAATTAGGAAACTATACACATGGGCCTTTGCTTCTCTCTCTGCTGGAATCCTGTAATCCTTATTAATCTGCTGTTTGTTCCTGGAAAGTAACTTTTCTCTGTCAGTAAAATCCAAAGTTCAGTTGGATTAATCTATGCCCTTTACTTGTAGCTGAAGCTGTGTGGACAAACACATGATTTTGACAGACATGACTCAAAATTTGCTATCTATTTTCTATTTGCCCTACTCTTTGTCAAACCAATTAAAAAAAATAAACTTAAAACCTGGGAACAGTGTTACCACAGGATGCCAAATTTGCAGCGAAAGCCCCGCAGGCTCCTGTCACACAAAATTTTGACAAGCCTTGCCAAGTGGTTTCTTCAGGATGCAAACTGCTTGCAAAGTGACTGGGCCCTTTGTGTCACAGTTGAATGCTGCAGATGGGAAGGTTAGCAAAGGGGTTTTGACAGGAAAGGGTAACTGCTGTTTTCACCCTGTGAAGTTCTCCATGCACAAATGAAACACAATCTCCTGGTATCGGGTGATGCTTGGTGTAACCTCAACAGTTCTGCAGAGATTATTTCCTAACTGAGGAAGAGTGCACCCAAAAGTAACGTCACAGTATGTTACCAGAACAGAACAAAACCACCCCTTAAACCAACCAACCCATCCATCCAGGGACATTCACAGGGCATTTCAAACCCGAGGACCAGGAAAAACAGGACAGATGCCTTCAGCCTATCAAATTGCCAAGCTGTACAAAGTTCATTCACTGTTTAAGAACTTTAAATTCAAACACACCTTCCCAGTGAGAGTAAGATGACTCCCTGCAGATCTGGAATACCAGAAGCCAGAGCAGAATACCAAGCAGAGATACACACAACTATGCACAAGCTATATTCACCCTCGTGCTTTGTTCTATGTAGAAAGCAATTGAAGGCATGCCATGTGATGAAAGCAATTCTCAATTACCATCTAACAGCAATTTTGGGATCCCATCTTCAGCACAGGCAAAGCAACACCTTCTTTGCCTTCTGCAGCAGAATGCAGATGCAGAGCGCAACTTTCTGAACTGTGTAGAGGCAAAATGTTTAGTTGAAGACTTCCTTCTTCAGGAGCACTCAGCATAAATCTGAATGTCATTTAGGCACAAAGCAAGAATATGAAGCAAGAACTCCCTCCTTGAAGTGCAGCAAGAGAGTAAACCACCTAAAACATCATCGGTTTGGTTTTGTTTTTTTTTTTTTTCATTTGCTACCTAATGAGCTACAAAATAGTTACAGCTTACTATCTACCATCCCATTTATGCTGGTTTTAGGTGATAACAGAAACTAAATTTATCCAGTAACATGTTTCAAGGTAGTTTTAGGTGTATATTGGGAAAAAAGAGAAAGCCCAATACCCAGCTGGGTCAACTATAGTATAAAATATAAATATGCATCCTCGACTTGAAGTCAGCCGACTTTTGTTTCTGACAAGCTGTGGATGCAACATACATACATACAGAACAAATCATATAGTGCTGCTACTAAAATGGCATGTTCTTGGCAACAAAACACAAGCATGTGAAAATTAATTTATGCTGATTGACTGCAGTAGCAAGTGAAACTGGAAATGCCCCACCTCAAACAACATACTGTGAGATTTTGTGTGTATTAGGACCAGCAGAGTAGCACAAAAGAAAAACAGAGTGAATTAAAAGCCCTTACATTGGTTTCTCTGGTTTTCCTAGACTTCGATGTCAAACCAAACAGGATTGCTGGATTTGCTGCCTGACAGTGAAGTAAGACAGACTGAACAGATTGTTTAAACCCATGAAACACAAGGCAGCCCCAGCTATAAAAAGGTGGCATCTGGAATGTTCCCTGTCCTGCAAGCTGAAAGGTAAGGGGAGACATGATCTCTCTGGTAGTCATCAAACTCAGTATTAGCTATTGCCAAACACTGAAGTTAAATTTCTGGAGCTAGCAGACAGTCTAGTTTCCTCTTTTCTTGATGGCAAAGCCTTTAGAAAGCAGTCATTCCTCAAAATCTATTTATCTAAATTATTTATCAAAAAATGTTGCATATGCTACTACCCTGAACAACATTAAAACTCAATTGATTTCACAGGCCGTGACCAAGGTAGAAATTTCCCTCCTCAAATTCAGGCACAGACTGCCTATATTGTTTTCAAAGCACTAGATACATTAAAATTTCCTTCTTGTCCACATATCTGGACATCACAATCATTAAGGTCCTGAAATATGGCTTTCCAGGGCCTCCATATCCACTGGCTCCTGTACATGAACCTTGCACTGTCTTTTGCATTCAGCAATTTTATATAGCAGTTCCAAGCACCAAAGCCAAAACATCTTTTAAACAAATTTTACCTGAGTCTCCAAATTTGTTGTAAAAGCCTCAGGTAAAATATGAGATTTCAAGCAATTAAATTACACTTGGAGTAATGTAGGCATAACAAACATATCATTTCTTGCAGAAATTTTCTGAACTACATAAACGTACTTCCTTTCTTCTCAAATATGTCTTGTTATGCTAAGTATCATTTTAATATTAATGAAACAAAAGACTCCTCCAAAAATGGGTAAATGTACCCAAGACAAAAGCTGCAGATGAGAACTGCACTTGTTTTCTACAAATTCACCCAAGTATGGTTCTGTTACTCACCTCAATTTTATCTGTTTTTGCATCTCCCCAGTAAAGCTTGTTTTTCTCAAGATCCAGTGCCAAGCCATTAGGCCACCCAAGAGAAGTATTCACCAGAACTCGCCTTTCTGAGCCATCCAGATAAGCACATTCTATCTTTGGACTTTCACCCCAGTCTGTCCAATACATGTAGCTGTTTAAAAAAAAAAAAAAAAAAAGAAAGAAAAGAGGGAGAACAGTTAATGCATGCAACAGGAAAGACAAGAGTTAAGGTCTGTTTTGCTTTCAAAAGAATTTGCTTTTTACTTCCTCAACAGCAGCAGACAAGCCAGCTTAAACAGCAATCAGTGAAGACAATATAAAGTTTGAGCAGTAAATAAATTAAACTACTGAAAATATGCAGTGGCCCAATTCCTTCATAGTTAGGATAACACTGAAGATACAAAGAAAAGAAAATTCAACTAAATACCCAATGTATAACTTCATTGAGGAACACTATATCTAGAAGTCACCTTTTATGTACACAATTATTAAAGAGATGAATCAAGGGAAAACCAGTCATTTCCTGAATATCTGACAAACAGTACAGGCACCATCCTGCAATTTGCACATTTTCACTTTCAGGAGACCATAAGCTGGATCCCAAGACCTACCACAGGGCTCTCACTAAACACCCAACTTACCCCATGACAGGATTGAGCACTATGGCTCGAGGTTCATCGAGGTTTTCGGCGATCAGGATCTTCCTTGATGTCCCGTTCAGCCGGGTCACTTCGATGCGGTCGGTGCCAGTATCGGTCCAGTACAGGTTCCTGGCCACCCAGTCCACAGCAATCCCATCTGGGTGGTTGATCTCCGTGGTCACCAGAGTCTGGGCTCCAGTGCCATCAAGATAGGCCCGACGAATTGCCCGGACATCGTCATCAGTCCAGTAGATGTAGCCTTCCACAGGGTCATAGTCAATGGCAATTGCATGTCTGATGTTGTCTATCTGCAGAATAATGTCAGTGAAATCCGGCGTGTCCAGGGAAATCCTCCTCAAGTCTGTTCTTCTGGCGAGCAGCAAGACTTCCTCAGCACCTAGGGAGAAAGGCATTCATGGCATCATTTCCATTGCTACAGATGTGAAGATTTCAGTAGAGCACAGCAGGTTGTGAACTGCTATTGTCACTGTAACAAGAAGAGAGTTCCTTAAATAAGGACATCAAGCTTTTGTGAAAATAAAGACCTGTTTGTACTTTAGATGAAAATTTCTCACAACCTTCTAAACTCACACAGATCATACCAATCTGTCTCTAGAATAAAAAAAAATAAATTTGGTGGGTGCAGGTCCAAGTATTTTATCACATTAGAGAGACTTGCTCAGCCAAAGGTCCCACTAGCTCTATCAGTGCACTAGACAAGTTTTCACACATGCCCTACGCAGTAAATGACAGGGCTAACAGAAGACTGGAGTATTTTGTAAACAAATTCCATTAATGATTTACTCCAGACAGTCCAACAAGAAAACAAGTCACAACCACAGCAAGTATTTCTCATTTGGCCACAGATTATGCAAAACTATTTTAAGGCAATAGTATTGTTGTTCTTTTCTCTCCTCTGTTCTTTCTCCCCACTGCAAAGTTTTCCTGCTTGTGGAAAGGGTGACAAACAACAGCTTGGAGAACATTTCAAGGACAAATGGCATCTTCAGTGTTGACTGACACTGAAGTGGCAGCTTCTTTTATTAATGCAAATAAGGGGACAGACAGCAAATGTGCAGTTGCTTAATAAAGTTTCCCCACATCCACCCATGCATGCTTCAGTACAAGTGAAATATGTGGGTTTTTTCCTACTTCTGTTGCCAAGTTTATGCTGAGTATTTTGAAAACTGACAAGGAAATTTTATAGTTTAGCAATACTCCAAAATTGGAAACCTAAATAAAAGTAATTTGTTGTATTTCATCCAGACCAGCAAATGCCACAGGAGGAGGCAATTTCCAGTTTTCCCCAATAGCTGAGATTGAATGAAAATGGCCATCATGGGGACATATCTAAGAATAACAGAAATTCAAATGCTCATGAGAACATTCTTCTAGAAATATTTCACGCCTAGGCATGCTTATGTAGTTCTGGAGACAAGGAAGTTGAATCTATTGTACAACACAACCAAATTTACTTTCACTATGGGTGCTGGATTTGGTTCTGATTTTGGGTTTAGCCTCCGTGTATCATCTCAGAAGCTCTGAAAAGAAATAGTGCTCAGGGCACAAGTGTATGACAGAAAGGATCTAAAATAGCAGCATTTTAGTATCATTTAAGAGCTCCAAACTACCTCAAGCCATCACAACTCTTGGATGAAGCAGTGCTGCTCTCCTCCTTGCCATGGGCTGCTTGTTTTTATTTCAGTATCACCCAGCCTCACATGCAAGCACAGCATGGCCTTGTACCATGACTGTGTGCTGCAAACCACACCAGAGAGCTGATCCAAGCAAAAACAAACTCAGTAGAAATGAAGCCATCAGCTGAAATAAACAACCAGACCGGCAGAGCTCCACAAACGCTTGTGCTGGCACAGTGAGGGGCTCCAGCAAGAATGCTTCTCCCAGTCAGCATCAGCTGACAAGGTCTGGTAAGGACAGCATCACTTTGAGGCAAGGCTTAGGTAGAAGGAATGAAAAAAACAACTCAGAGCTCAAAAACCTCCTGGAGAAAAGGGAGTTATGAAAGCCCATTCATTCATGACAGCAAAGCAAAAGAGACACAGCAACTACAGCAGAACCAAATACCCAATGTAACAGAGTTTTATGTCTAGCTTCTATGCTTCTGAAATATTTCATTACGGGAGTCAAAATAAAAACTGGTTAGTGCAAGCTAAGTAAAAATTCAGGCCTCAAAACTCAACATGGAAAGGGTGATGCATCTGGTCATCTAAGTGTTGTACAAACACAGAAGGGTTTTAAATTTAAAAAGACAGGCGAGATGTTGGAGTTGCTTTTTATTTAAGGGAACACCTGGAACACATGGCCCTCTGTCTCAGGGAGGATGATGAGCCAGTCAAGAGTTTATGGGTTGGGATTAAAGAGCAGAGTAGGTAGGGTGACACTGCTGTGGGTGTTTGTTAACCTCTGAATTTCTACTATATCAATGTATCTGCAATCATAACCTTAACACTGAACACAGTATGAATACTGTGAAACAGAGGACCATCAAATACATGCCTAGCAAGTGATAACACAGCAATTACCAATATTACATGTATTTCTAGGATAACCAAGATTGCAAGGCTCATTGCATGGGAACAAACAGATAAGAATCAATGCATATGTTTTGCATTTCACACAAGGGATTGCAGGGTCACCTTGGTTCACTGTAAACAAGTTCAGAGGAAGCAACCATCAGTCTAAGGCCCAGATTGTGTCTAGAAATGCTGACTAGACAACAGGCTGAAAGACACTGTAAACACCCCCTAAAATTCACAAGTAGTACCAAAACAGCCTTCACTTCCTCACAGCAGCTAAAACTCAGATTTAACTCATCCAGCTCTGTGATAGGTTCACCTCTGCATAAGACCATGCACTTACTTGAATGCAAGGTATTGTTTTGACCAGGAACGGGACAGCCCAGACACCGTGAATCAACTGCATGACTAGAATCTTCTTGCAAATCAAAAGAAACAATTTGTTTCTGACACGTTCAGCTGCTCTGAGTTTTTCCTCCAAGTAAACACTACGGGAGATACATTCCCAACCTCAGTTCTGTCCCATGGACATATATGGCTAAAAATAAACAGGTAGAAAAAAACTTCTCCATGCTGATCTAGTGAACAAAAAGAAAATCTTCAGTTGACAACTGGCACATTTTGTTGGTAGTTGAATAAGATGCCTCTTGGCAATTTCTTCTATTTTCTAACCTACCTTTAACTGAGGCTTGTGGGGGAAAATAAGTAATAAGGGGACTGAGCTACCCGGCTAATTCTGTAAGGATGCTTAAAATTAAGTGAAATATTACCCAAAAAGACTCTTGACAGACATGCACCTACATCCTTGAACAATAAAATACACGTGAACAGAGAAAACGTTACCACAGCATGTATCACAACGTTACACCCCCCACCTGAAAACCTGTAATAGATTGTTATCAGAGGTATTTGCTAATAGGTGCAAAAAATCCTCTTTTATTACAACAGAATTTTCAATTACAGTTAGTTATAACTGTATTTGACTCCATTAACAAACTTCTGCCAGAGAGAAAGAGTTGGCAGCAGGCTCTGAGCACAACAGCAAGAGATGAGAACCTGATGCTGGTTGTCTCTAAAAACCTGGCCAAACACGCTTGTCTGGCTCATTAGTTTTATCTGCATCATGGAGGTATTTTGATTATTAATGTTGGTAGGAATGTTTTCAAGGCTGCAGGAGTGTTGTGCTGTGACAGGCCCAGTGTTATCCTAGATACCCTAGAATCTGCTTAACACATAACACATTACAGCCAGCTATTTACCTTGTGCCAAAGTGCTGTAACATATATTTAATTAACTACATTTTCAAAACCTCTCTCACTGCAGTCACTTCTCTAACCACATGATCAAGAGATTCCCAACAGAACTGCTAACTGTTACAACATGGTCATTTATAACACCACACAATGAACAAAAGCCTTTTTGGAGGGGAGTGGGAAATGCAAGCTATTCCAACACCACAATTGCAGCAGCCAAACACTTCAGCAGAAGTTCATGAGAAGTTTTCTGTGCAAACCGTAAATAGAAAACCAGGAGGAACTAGATCAATCTAAAATTTCCATTTAGAAAACATTTCAAAATACCCATATTCAAATTGTTTTATTTTTTCAACTGGTTTATATTTTGAACTGCTTCTTTTTCTCTACTCTATTCATCTCAAGCTTTCTACAGAACTTCAAGAGAAATTTTTAGTAGATCTAATAACCATAAGAGCTGATGAGCGCTTCTGGTTGACGCACAATCACAGAAAGGTGTGGGTTGAAACAGACCTTGAAAATCATCTAATTCCAATCCCTCTGTCACAGGAAAGGATGCCACCCACTAGATCAGATTGATCAGAGCCTGGCCTTGAACTCTTCCAGGGATGGGGGTTTACAAAACAAAACAAAAAAAACCCAAACCCACAAATAAGATGACTCTAAGGTCTATTTTCAATTAATAAATCCTAGAGAAACAGGTTAGGGTGCCGTTTTTTTTTTTTTTTGCACTCACACAAGATGCTTTCCTGCCATACTCAGAAATCAGTATTTTTAATATCTATGCTAGGATATCATTTTTGCTTTGATTTGGTTGACTTGTGCTTTTGTTATTAAAAATTCATGCTTCACTGCTGGAAATGGGAACTGTATTCTATTTGCAAAACTAACTGCAATCAGGGCTGACAGCAGCAAAACAGGCCATCTCACCAGCTTGACAGGACCCTTTTTTATTCTTCCCTTGGCCCACTTCACATTTGACAAGTAACAAGACATCTATAACACAGTAACAAATGCCCCAATTTATTCACCCAACCTAAACATGTGGACTGCAGTGGCTGCCTCTGTTAATCTTTGCCAGAAAAAGCCATGCTATTCCTTTCCTATTTGTCTGTCTGCTAATTAGGCTAGAACAATGACCTACTGTAGAACTCATCCCCCAGTTTTATGTATATGGATGAGCATGCACCTGCATGTGCAGACCCAGTCTCACTGCAAACAATTCTGGAAATATCTATACTTGTGGGGGGAAAATCAGATACACTGTAAAAACAGGAAAGATTTCAGCTCTGTTCCAAAGAACAAAATGGTAAATGCTTTTTGAAAAGACTGTGTTAGAAGTACTTTGACTGAGGGCAACTCCCTTACAAGCTGTTTGAGCACAGCTACCTCAGCACTCTTGAGAAACAAAAAAGATTTATCAAAAAAGCAAGGGATTTTGTTGGTTGCTGCAATACAGTGAATTACCCAGCAAACTTCCAGTGTATGGCAAAAGAGGACCAGAGTATGGTTTTGGGAGAAAACATGGAGCAAATGAATACTGATAACACTGCCACACTGCTTAATAAGTTTTCCAATATTCAAAACAACTATAACACCCTGTATAA